CCTAGAGAGAAGTCCTGTGAGCTGGGAAAGCTTCATCACTGCTCTTCTACCAGGTGTTAAAACAGATAGGATCAACCATCAAAGACAGTTTTAAAGTCTTAAAATAATAAACTAGAAGTTAGATGCCCAAATAAATCGGTTATCCTGCTTCTGGAGTTGCTTTGGTGTGTGTGACTAGAAGCTTTGGATTCAACCTACTATCTCTTGAAATGCAAGGAACAAGGATTAGCAAAGAAGCAAACAGAAAAACTTTGCTCTGACTGACATAAGCAACTGAGATAACTGCAGCTGCTTCCAATGTAGCTGCTGTTTGAAGAGCTAATATTTGCTTGAGTAAATACCTATTGATCAGACATAGGTACTTTTTTTACTTCAATGAAGAATACTGTGCTGTGGTAGTTGAATTTTATAGTTCTTTCTACGGTATCTACAATGTAAAAAAGGGAAGGCAGAGATGCCACTTTTCTGTAAAAATACCTTCACTTCTGAATTATAATATGGACTTGTGTGCTTTAATATCTGTGGTGATTTCACTTGGCTAGCAGACAAACACTGCTACTAGCTCACTTCCCTGCCCCCCCAGGTGACAGGGGAGAGAATTGGGGGCAAGGGTAAGGAGACTAGTAGGTTGAGATAAGAACAATTTAATAACTTAAATAAAACTTAAAACAATGATAGTAAAGTAATACTTATAATAGTAATAAAATATGCAAATGAGTGATACACAGTACAATTGCTTACCACCTGTTGACCAAGCCTGGCCCGTTCCCAGATAACAATCCTGGAGGAGCAGTGCTTCCAAAACTGCAATCCCAAAGGAGCAAGACCCTGAGCAGAAAAGAAAGAGAGGGAGAGACTGTCATTAATATACTGAACATGATGTTATATGATATAGAATATCCCATTGGCATATCCAAATGCCAGTTTAGCTTAAAAATTGGAATATTCCTCACCCTCCTTTAAACCTTGCACTTGTAGGCCAACAAAACATGAAGTTCTTCAACTTCAGTGACAAATAAAAACATTGGTATATTATCAATGTTTTTCTCATAACAAATCCCATGCTGAATCCAAAACATAGCATTATAGCTATAATATAGCTAATAAAAAGAAACCTCACTCTCTCCCAGCTAAAAACTGAAACAATATCCAAAATATCCACCAGAGAAAAGAAAACATACTGAGGCTATTTCTCTTTCTGCTGTAGACTACCAGCTAAATCCTGGAAGGTGCTTGGTGCTCTGGCTTCAAAGTGCTTACATATGTACATGCTTTTCTGAAGTAAGTTGTTAGATTGGGTCCACAGCGCTTGGCCGCTTGTAAGATCAAGCACTGTGTCCCATCTTCAAATATAAATTCAATCAAATTGAAAGGACACTGAGCACAAGTGTGGGTTGAGGTTGAAATTGTGCTTATTGTTGAGGTCTGTTTTGTGACAAAAAGTGTTGAGTAAAATAAAGTACTGGGGGAGCTGTGACTTTAACATAGCCCAGTGGAATCGCACGGGGGAGGGGGGGGGAAACCCATTAAGCTCTGGTTTTTATAACTTCACTGAAGTACTAAAAAGCTCTAATGTTAATAACCACAGATACTGCTGGAGTTATTAAAAGGGAAATACAAAAGCAGCTAAAATCTGAGGCTGCAACCTTGCTGCACAAAAATTATATTGTAATGAAACATGCCATTTATGTCTGTAATGTATGCCTGCACAGTGACTGCTCTGGGAACAGGGTACTTTTCTTGTTTTCTAAAGACCTGAGCAGACTTCACTGCTGAGGTGCATGCTGTGGGCTGCATGCACTCTGGATGCTCATAAGGGCAACTGCTGAAGAACACAGTAGCAATTTAAACCCCCCCCCCCCCCCCCCAAAAAAAAAAAAAACAACCAAAAACCCCACAGAGCACCCCAAAACAACAAAACACCCATAAGCTCTTGTGTTTGGGTGGAAAAAAAAAAACCTCATGACTGCATTTGAATTGCAAGTGGGTAGTAATAAATTTATCTGTGCCCACTAAGACTAGAGATTAAGCTGTCTGTGCTTTCCTTGCCACAGCTGGCATCCTACAGCCATCTACAAACATAGCTACAAACTGTGCGCACAAAACTTTATGGAGTGCAAATTGTCATTTGTTGCTTCAAGGCAAACGCGAGAACCTCAGCTTGGGCTTTAGCACATAAGCAACAGCAGGAGCTTTCCAAACTGCTTGGATTTAAAACTTACTTAACATTGCGTGTGGGTATAATAAATAAATAGAGATAGTAATCTTCTTGCTCAAGTACTGCAGGCAACTATTCTTGTGAACTTAGATGGGCTTTTTATTGTTTTCCTGTGCTGACTACTTCCAGATGGTGGTAACTTCAGGGTAAAAATATTAAAGATACACTGTTAAAGGCACTAAGTGGCAGACTGTATCCCTCTCTTCAAATGACGTTTTTTTGTTTTGTTTATGTGAGATACAGTAAATTAAGACAGTTAAATTGTTTACTAGGACAAAATATAACCTTCAGCATCAACTAGCACTGCTGTATTCCTCTTTCAAGAAAGCCTCTATAAAAACTATGGGAAGAAAACAAAAAGACCTAACTAGGAGAGTAACTATTTTCAGAACACTGTTTTTTAACTTATGGACTATGAAGTGGAGGAGGAGAGAGGGAGGGTTTCTGTGGAAAACTTCCAAGGGATCCCTGAAAGGTGACTAAGAAATGCAATTTCATACATGTTATGGTACAACCTATGTACAAACCTTCTAATGGCACACACACTTCTGTTCAGGATAAATGTTCCAGAAAGACTTCTAGACAACTCTCCTGAATTTTAAAATATCCCATTCTTCAGATAGTTTTGAATCACCTTGACAAGTTTTAGAAAGAAAGAGTTCTACCTATAGATATGTGCTGTTTCTTTAGCTTTCCTAAGATGTTTTATAAAGGTAGCTGTAGTCACTTTTTCCCCTGATGTTTTTAGGTTGCTTAAGAGCGCAAGTTTCTTAGGTACCTGTTACTTGTTCCTATAGAGTCCATAACATGCAAAGGCACTTAG